TCAGGTTTAGTATATTTTATATTCTACTCGTAGAATGTAAATATCTATAAAGTACCTAACTCAAAAACAAATTTTTGAACCAGATTTTGTTTTTTAAACCGGGAATATATTGTATTAATATTCAAGAAGGCAACAAAGGAAAAATAATAGTTATATTAGGTCTTTACCTATGAAATTGCCGTTTCGTATGAAATAAGTTATAGTACTTTTTACCCGACTGCGTCAAAAGGATGGTTATGTTTTTCGAGAGTATGTATGTATGTGTAATTCTTTGGCACGCTCTACAGCCGATTGATGGATTTTAGCTTGAGAGGTGTCGTTAGATTCGTATTTACTGTGAGAATGACACTGGGTATATCAAAATAAAAAATTACATATAAACGCAGTCGCGGTTCTTAGTTTTTTACATTACTTATTTTTTAAACTTTTTTTATTTCTGTTTTTCAAATTTATCACCCATGCAATCGATGCATCTTTGCAAACGAAGTGGTAGTTTACTGATGCCTTTCCTGTAACCATCAGCTGGGCAGGAAGGTCTCGATGCGTACGTTGCACTGGGATCGTTAAGTTCGTGGGGCATCCATCTACCAAGCCTTACCAATTTTTGTAAATGGACCAATATTGTTTTACTTTGTGACTTTGTCTTGTGTACTACACCCTATGATCACATTTTCACACCAGGTCAATTTTGTTCCCTTCTCTTTCGCATTTATTGCGCCCGTATTTTTCTATCACCTGCCTTCCCGTGTCCCTCTCATCCAAGGATAATATGGCCACGGAATAAGATGGTAGTAAACTGTGTTTAGTTCGTCTTCCAACTACACTCGTGCAGAATTGTCTCTTGTCCTTATCCTCCTGCTCCCTTTCTCTCAACAGTTCTCGTACATCCTTGTTGTTTTTTTTTCATTGTTTTATAGAAGGTTTGTATACTCTTCCAGCTAATTTATAAGATTTTCTCCTGCTTCTGCTTCTTACTTTTCTCCTCTTCTATCTGCTTGTGTCACCTTCTTCCTTCATTTGTAATAATACGATTTACTAATACTACGGACCACTATCTAACGTCATGTCAAATTTCAAAATTTTAAATAAAAATGTAATAGAACACATGAACACAAAAAGAAACAAAATTGTTAGATTTAATTTCTTATTTTCTTATGAAACTGTATGTCTCCGTATTTATGTCAACTGGCGTGTAAATGGTGCCAGTTGGCTAATTTTCTCTTTCTGATAGGCCCCGCACATCGCCATGTGTCACGGACGCAAATCTGCTGCATCATGGCAGCTCATGGATAGTTTTGGAATACTCAGCAGGAATCAAACTTACCTACTAAGTTATAACAAATCGTGTTTGTGTATGCGTATGTGCGTGCGTGCGTTTGTGTGGCTTTTTATCATTGTGGTATTATATTTATTTAAATTTCTACTTACATATTATTTGTATGTAATAAAATTACAAGGGCATTATTCATTTTATATCAATAATTTGAAAATCCTATAAAAACAACGAATAACGAAATCCCATTTCAAAATAGAGCCCACAACATACACTGACGGCAAATAGTTCATTCCGAATCAATTTGTAAACTCAATTAAGCAAATACCCCCATGAATTGCGCTCAGACAAGCTTTGGGAAACTGCTTGAATGAGCAGCTCATTCGGTAGTTTATAGCCCGGAGTACATCCTAAGACACAATAAGGTATTGGATGTTTGATCATGGTGGAATTATCGTAACGGATGTTTGGAACAAAAAATATTATTTTGTGTCGTAATGATAATGCCAGTATTTTATTACTAATAAATGTTTGTCCACGTGAAATGTATGTGTGTAAAACAACAAAGATTAATGTTATACTGCAGTAAGGGAAATGTTTTAAAACATAAAAAAAAATGGTTGATGATACAGAATGAAAATAAACTGAATAAACGAAATTATATTGCATATAAATGTATTATACAAAAAATAATTTATTTGTGCATAGTAACAATCTCTTTACACTTAGGTATTTATCGTTACTAATATTATAAAGGCGAAAGTTTGTATGTATGGATGGATGTTTGTTACTCTTTCACGCAAATACTACTGAATGAATTTTAATGAAACTTTACAGTAATATAGCTTATACATCATAATAAGACATAGGCTATAATTTAAATACATTTTTTATGTATCTTTCTGTCTTAATGTTACACCTTCAGCCTATTCTCCGCAGACTAATAATTCAGCTAGTATCTAATAATTCTTACTTGTAACATTTATTTTTAGGGCCCCGTTCAGCTAGTACAGAAGACCAGCTAATAATTCTTACTTGTAACGTTTCGTCTGGTGAGTGAGGTTTTTAAGGTTGTCACGCATCTGTACCCTTTTCAACTTCAGATATAGAAGAACTTTTCGCATAAAAAAAAAAAAAAAAATTCAACTTCCGATATAGAAGAAGCAATGGGTTCATCACACTTTATTAATTTAATAATAGGTTTGTGGTAACTGTAGTATATGATACATAAGTTTTTAAGTTCACTCTGATAAACAATGTTTCTTTTTAATTTTTTTAAGCGAATAAGTGTAAGAAAGAGCAGCCGGCGGGTGTTATAAACAATATTTATTATACGGCATCGCGGCGTGCACTCAGCAACGAGAGTAGGTATTAATGTAGGTAGGCATGGATTATACACTTTTATACTGAGAGGTAGTACGTATGCAGCAACGAAGAGAGTGGGGTAGGGGAAAAATAACGCAAGTCCGATAACATTGCAAAGAAATAACATCCTATACGTCAGGTTTGTTGCGCAGGGCGCGTAATGAAGTTTCACTTTAGAAAATGGAGTTCTTCAAAATTTCACGGTTACAAGTAAGCGCGCCTAAGTTAAAGGCCTAATAACTTGTAAACGACAATTCTCGAAATAAAATTGTGCGATTATGGATCTTCATCATGGGATACATAAATAGGTTTTGAATAGTAGAAGTAAGTTACATCTTATTTGCTCTTATTTGTAATAATAATACGCCGAGGTTCAGGCTAGGTGGCTCGTGCGCCAGGCCACCTCAAGCCCGTCGGAACTGTAAAGGTCCCTAAGGCCAACAGTGGCTCATCCAGCCCAAAAAAAAAAATGCTCTTATAATTCCTACAATTTTATAGTCTCACTGCTAGACAAAGCCTAATAAGTTATTAGAGCAGAAAAAACGACTTCCATTTAGATTGACAGACCTCTCACAACTTTAACAAAATACATTTTATTTTAAATTATTTCTTGGATATGCGCTATGCAGGTTTCCTGACGATCAAATTTTAAGATTTTACACACCATTTATAATATCATCTTAACTTTTATTTTAATTAAAATAAAAAGTGCATTATTTATTTATCACCATCGGGATTTTAATCCAGGTTGCTCGAATATATTAGGATGCTCAGTTAGCTACTAAGTAACCACTACGATGTTATGTTAGTTGCACACTTGTGTTATAATTATTTTGAAGTCAACTTATACGAATTTTTATTTTGGACGCCTCTAACTTTAAACAGTACAATGATGTTAAAACTTTCGGTTTCGAATTTGCTTCAGGAGGGTTGCTCGAGTCTATGGAACTTTAGCTGAGTTTATGTCTGCCGTGACCTATATTTGAACAAATCAGCTTTACGAATGTCAAATTTTGAAATTATATTAAATGGAACTTTTAATTAGTTTTAGTTTTTACAACATGTTAAAAAGTCATCACACTTATTATGACACAATTTTATTATATTTCCTATACACCATCTTTTTCAAGTAGGCAAATACGATTATTATGCAGACGTGAAGTAAACGAAACTCAACATACGCTGTTCTTTAGGAAAGTCTGTGTCCTATATACGTTTTTATCCTTTAAGCGTTTACTCGAGTTTGCTCTGTTATGTTTGCGACAAAGACGTACCGGAATCGTAATGTTTCGCCAACAAACAGACTATGCACTCGACAGATCCAATCTTCTTGCTTTCAATCTAATCAATTCTGCTAAACGGCCTTGCTTCTCCCGTGCTCTCGGTTTTATGCGGTAAGATAAACATGAATGTTCCAGCTTCGACTGCAACCCGTGATGTTTGTAGAGTAAGCTATTTAAAGCGATAACGTTTTTTTTACGTACCGCATAATACGAAACTGTATCATAATTTCGGATGGAGCAACTACAGAATTAAAAAAATACTTAGGAGATAAAATATAATTAAATCGTCATCAAGCTATATTTCCTTTCTTCGCATCGGCGAAAAGCTTCAAATTTGTTCTTAAAGCTATACTTTTTATGGCGCGTAAAAATATATGAAAGTAAATTTTTTACGATACGTACGGACACCGACAGTGGAATGATGAAGTTGGTTTCAAAGCGACCAACTTTACGGTATTACCCTAATTCCATTATTACGGTAAAGTTTAAATAAAATTAATAAAATAAAATTAAATTAATTCCAATTCTTTAATTAGGCCGTTATCAATTGCGTTTAATGTCCTTTGTCAAAGAGGAAAAAATTATTATTCAGTTTTCTTTTATATACTAAAGTAGTATAACTTCTTCCGTGAGTGCATAAGTGAACACATTCTTTTTTTTTGTGACATGTGAGAGATGTGAGAGTACCTACTTACTGTATAAAAAATAAATAGAGAAATAAAAACCAAGTCTATTAAACAATCTTTATTTAAATTTACATGAATGCTTAAAACGATTGCGCAATAATTTTCTTAAAAGTCCTAATAATTTTTACAACACTGGAATCGATTGGGTTTAGAATAAATCTAATACTTATATTACCATTTAATACATTACCATTTATTTCCTTAAACCTTTACCCTGATGCTAAGGATATAACTCCATGCGTCTTTGGCACAGTTAATTTACGACTTATTAAGGCCTATTATTAACATAATTTATTTACACGAATGTACACGAACCACCATCGTTTTGCTAGAAACATATTCTGAAATTGAAGAATCAGGCGGTAAGTTTCCCCGTAGCCGCCAATTTAATTATTCCATCATCGCGTATAAATGTACAGTAACACTAGCGTACAGGAGTATCAGGAAACCCAAGCCGCTCAGCCACTGTGCGCCGCCTTGCATCGCAGCTGGCGTCTCACCTACAACATTAATAAGTTTGTCATACGAACGGGGCAGCGTTTCAGTGAGCCTAATGAGACTATAGCGAGTTAAAATGTCACACTATTTACATTTATACACATTTGTGCTTACACATAACTTTAGTAGCGCCACCTGTGTACGTATATTGCTCTCCTTTATTGCATAAAACAAGCAATCCAAACATAAATAACAATACTAAGGCTTTATCACACTTGTGTTCTTGTCCTCATATATCGATGAGTCCGTGGCGCATCGGCCAAGGTATTGGCTTTGGCACCTGGGGCCTTGGGTTTGATTTTTACATGGAACTAGTTATTGGGTGGCCCATAGATAATGTTTGCAATGAGTGATTTGTCTATGTGGGATATGGGCAGGAGGACGATTCAATACAATCTTTACTTTCGATCTCCACGTATTAAATCTAACAAGTAAGCGTATAGATTCATCTTGGTGTATCAAACTGTTATACATGTATATTTTATAACAGTTAAATTTATCGAGAAAATAGCTTACCTGTTAATACATGTACTCGCGCAGTGGCTGACAAAGCGTTGTCGGGAACGCATTGATAACTTCCAGCGTCAGAAGTGCGAGCTGCTTGTATCAATAGCCTGCTGCTGCTATGGATACCCTTCTCCGTAACTAACGATATACCGCCACGGCTCGAGTCGAAATTTATCGTCTGTCCACAATAAAATGGAGATGTGAGAGGAATCGTTTGGGAGGGAAACAGCATTGGATAAGAATACATTCGCCCATGGCAAATAATAAACGCGTAAAATAATAAATAAAGCTTTGTGTGAGAAATGAGGGTTTGGTGACGCCACTACACAAATAAAAATATAAAAACTAAAACATGCATTACGAAAACATACCTAACTTTTGACAAACGGGTCATGTTTTAGAAAAAATACTATGATAGGTCTTTAACTTTTCACTTTTCAATGTCTTAAACTTTAAAGAACTGTTTCTTTTCCCAAGATCGTCTTTTACACACCAGGAGATAGTGAATTATAAACAATACTCATACCGTGCGGTAATCGAATTATGAATCTACGTATTTGCACTCCTAATATTCATTCACGCAATTCACGGTTATTTCAAATATTATACATTACCTTCCCTCTATGAGTCCAGTTAATAGTATTGGGTGGTTCCGGCGTGTGCCTTACAATACAGGTAAGGTTTATTGTAGAACCAGCGTAAATAAATAAATCAGATCCTCCCAAGATTTCCGTTTCTGGCTCTGTAAAAATTGTACAAAAACACAAGGAAATTTTATCTACTATATACACTCTTAAAAATTTGTTTTTAGTGTGGGCTTAATTTATCCGTTTAAAATTTTTCAGTTGTTTACCAAATATATCCTTGATAGTTGCATGTTGTTTTAGTCTATTTAATATTCGCTCAATACAAACAAAAATATTTCAAACTTCGTCTATCATCATTCTTACCTATTAAATGAAACTAAACCCTTTCACACACCCTTCAACAGCGTTCATGGTCTGGGACAGTCTGTCCCGTCGGTTCGAAACATCGGGAAATTCAAATCAAAATAAAAACGCGATAAAATCCGTAAACTAGTTTCATTTAATATTATAATATTAGCGTAAAAACAACTAGTCAATATCATTCTTACCAACAATTTTAAGGTAGACGGCGTGTCCAATAGGTGGAGTAGTGGATATTTGGCATTCGTACTGTCCCGAGTCACGACGCTGGGGACTGCGTATTTTGAGCGCCCACTCCTCAGAGCGCGGCTTGTGTTGTGCCTCGAAACGTTGGTCTGAAGTATACGTGTACCTTCCCACAGTCAGTAAGTGTATATCCCGGTGGCGTACCCAAGACACCTGAAGGATTCATTCTTTAAAGTTTACATTATGTTAAAATCCTTACTAACATTATAAAGGTGAAAGGTTGTACGTATGGATGGATGTTTGTTACTCTTTCACGCAAATACTACTGAATAGGTTTTTATGAAACCTTACAAAAATATAGTTTATATATCAGAATAACACATTTATAAACATATTTCATGTATATCAGTATTTCTGTCTGATTGTTACGTCTTCAGCCTACTACACAGACGTAGTCGCGGGCAGCAGTTATTAATAAGTAATAAATATATCAGGACACCTTTTTACAAAACGTTTTATAGTCCCAAACTAAATAACGCTTGTACTATGGGTACTAGATAGCTGATAAACTACATTTATTATGAATATTTAAGAACCCGAACATTATGCAAAAAACAAACCAACACATTATCTTTCTACTAGGCGAATCGGGTCTTTCTCGGGTTTTTCTCAAATACCCGTAAAAATTGCTGAAATACGTTTAAATATCGTGCCAAATTTTATACCATTAAACAAGATCTATCAAATACCTCCATGTTCTATGTTTAATGTTCTGAAAAGATTTAGATAAAATGTTAAGACAGTCTTGTTTCTATGATTATTTTTAAGGTAGCTTTAACAAAATAAAACCTATGTCATGTTTCACCTAACTTTAACTTTGTTAAACAAGAGGTTATGATTTTATTCGTATTTTACATAAAACCCATCAGTCCTTCTATTCAAAATGAAAAATATGTTTTAGAATTGCGAACATCAAAACAGCCGTACACGTATTCTCTATAGGCCAAAGCGGTAAATTGTGTTTTACAACTTTTACGAGGCCACCACAGTTGTGGTCGCGTTCTAGATATTTGATTTTGTATGTGACACGAACATGAAAAGTTTTAGACGTTAAATAGCGATAATTTAATCAAATTCGATCCAATGCACCATGCATTTAGCGATAATGTATTCTTGTCCATATTATGAAATATTAAATGTTTATGTTTTTTATACATTTGAAGCTAATTTTATAAAAACGAATTGTTAATTAACGTGTTCACCTTTGTTATTATATATTATTACTTAGTTCAGTTAGATATACTTTAATTCAGTTAGTTAGTCTTTTCAGTTATTAAAATGTAATAGTTAATATTAAATAAAATTTTATTCTTAACATTTATTTCCTTTCATTTTCATATTTAAAATTAGCAAATTTATTATGTATGAAATAACATTAAAGAAGGAATATTCAACACAAAAAATGTTTGTACGCACGACTAACCGAAAAGCTGATGTTTCGAATAAAATTCGCGGTGTTTTAGTAACAGTTCCACTAAACCGCTTCAACTTTTACAACGTTAAGCCGAAGATTGAACAAGAACTGCCATTATATTCCATCGTGACTACGAAGTGCTACAACGGAAATTTTCTTACGTTCATAAATGTCGCGTGAGCACATTAACTGTTACCTTTAAGCGATTATGTAAATAGATAAAATAAAACTTTCACTAACATCCCTTTGATAATGTCGTCACGAAGGCAGTTAACATTTAAAATTAAAAACGATGAATTCATAATATAGTGTGAATAGTGAATAATTAAGTTTTATTGATATTGACCGTTTAATTTCACAATACCGATCTTGTTTACTGACAGAATAAGGCACGTTATGTTGATGTAGTTTAAAAATTACCGTATAAATAAATACCAAATAAAGATAAAAAAAAACAAATAAATAATAAAAATTGCAACCTTCAATTTCATTACCTATCCGTTTTGTATCCGATACCGGTTGTAAAAATGAGATCTCCCATTACAGGTTTCAATCTTTCTATCATGTCAACCGAATAAGAATAATGAAAAGTGATATATTTGAAATATCAAATTTTTACCTTAATAAATTATTTTAACGTAAAACCATAATAACTAAGTAGACAGCTAAATGAAAATTCTAACGGATGGACTTACTGTGCGATTTTGTAAATTTTTAACTTTACAAAGCAGTGTGACTGGATGCCCCACTAATCCTGTCACATTATCTGGAGTGGTGGGATCAAAATATGGTGCGCCAGGTGTTTGTGGCCAGTCTTCTAAAAACTCTGTGCGAAATCTTCTAGAAGATTCCGATACTGAGCTTTGTTCTCGAGGACGGCTGTTGCTGTTGTCTTGATAGCACTCTGAGGGTAAAGGTTATGAAAATTATAAAAAAAGAAAGTTTTGCTAACATTAAAAACCATGGAGGATAAACATTGACCATCTTCATTACAGAAAGTTGATGCGGCGTGTGTAATGGTGTTATTGTTTTATTTATTAACTACGGTTCATCTGCAGTTGTTACATTAATGAAATGACCTAAATGGAACCGTAATTACTATTTATATTAGTAGCTATTAATTAACGCTTAACACATGTAAAACAGAAAGAATTGCCATTGTAATAGATCTATATTGCAGCATGAAGAAGAGAAAATGTTTGATAAAATAAAATAAAATATAAAAATAGAATGAATGAAAACGGAATGAGTGCATTTCGTCACGGCACATACTGGCAAATACCACCGGTCATAAATTAAAAAGGGTAATTTTTATAAAACAAAGCACATCGTGCGTCACGTTAGTTACGCCATTGAACGTCAGGTAGGATTGACCCAGATTCACTTTGTTGCGGTCGTTGTCATAAAAGGGTTAACTTTAGTAGCTAGATTGTGTGACACGGAACACGTTTTACGGATGCTTGAGTGCTTTGAACGAAGCGTCCAAAGTTAACGGAACTTGCGAGAGTTTCAAATTAAATTTTTCGCATGGCCACCTGAAAGATATCTGAATTCATCGTACCAAAAACACTATGCTTCAAAATATACATTATTATAGAACCACGTGCAAGCTGTGAAGGAAATCACTATATAATCATATGTTAGACACTAGTGGAGTATAGAAATTATACTACACTGAATGTTAATCTTAAAGTACTTTCTCGCATTAAAGTCCGTTTGCCGCGAGTCTCTAAGTTTTTAAGAAACTTATGTCTAGAGAACTATAAAAATACAAGGATGTATGTTATTTTAACAAAACCATAGTAAAAGTTGCGTTGTGATGCTAAAAAATTTTAGTAAACAGAAGTATTGGCATATCCGTAATTGTTGAATTTCTTAAAATGATTGTTGGAAATATCTAACAGTATTAATTACTTCCAGTAAGACTATAATAAATCTGTGCACGATATTTATTGCAAAGTAGCTCGTACTTTATCATTTTCAAATATCCTCAACAATATCAATATAATGTTGAGATCATAAGTAATTTGCTCTATGATACTCTAAAACAATAAAAAAAAGTTGGTATGCAAAATGAAACGTCCTGAGTAGGAACATAAATTCAGTTTGGCAAGCTTGATTAAACACTGAATTTTAAATTGTTATCCCGCAACTTCAACTCTTCAATGCGCAGATTTTACAGCCCCTTTTACGTGAAAAGCACTTCCATTTTACGTCGCAATTCTTTTCTTTGATATTACTTTTTATCGTGCTAATGATTGAATTAAGTAAACACTAACCTCTCATTAATCTATTCTGTACGACTCACTTTATCTGTGACATTTATTGTCGGATGTGACGTCGTAATAAGTGAATGTTTTATCTGCCCACGCCAATTGGAATGTTTAAAACATGTCTTACAAGTTTATAGCCGAAACCAATATTACAAATAAGAATTTGGGGCAAAATTTCGAATTGCTACTTTCCGCTTATCACATATCGTAATGAACAATAGACCTAAAAACCATAGAGCTTTGAGATACATATGTAATATTCTATAAGAAACGAAATTTTAAATTTTTTACTGTAATTATGCTGGAAAAAGTACTAACTTTCATTAATAGTCTAACGCTCAATAAACTGGTTACCAAGTAGCTGATACAACATTTGTAGATTGTCGATTAATGAGAGTTTGGAGTTGTTAATAATAACATAACACTGGGGAATTACAGAGCATAAACAATAGCATAGCTTTGTATTGAGGATTTGATCTTTTGTTATTTGAAACTGTGAACAATTGAAAGCATGACGGATTTCTGTCTAAAGTAATTTATACATTATTCTAATAACATACCTTATTTGATTCGTTATATGTTGTACATAAATATATTAGTAAAAAATACTTACCAATAATGTACGAGAAGAAATTAACAGAAAAGAGACAAGCTGCGGCAAGGTTACGCGTCATTTCTTAGCCCTTACGAGCTCAAACAGGATGGGGTCATCGTTCCTGGAAACAAAGGCTGCGTTAATAACTTTTCAGAGAAGTCTTTCGAGTCTTTGTTCCTGCAGACGACTGTATGAAGCTGCTTTATTAAATGTAACCTTGTTTCTTAGTTATTCTTGCGTTGTACGTAAGGTTTAGCACATTTAAATATTTGATAATGAATAAAGTGTCTGCCACAGCCGCATAGATTTTTAGAATTTGAATAGTAAATTTTAGGTATACAACAATATATTATAATAAATGTACATTAAAGCATATATAACAAATATAAATCACATCTCAAACCGGTATTTTGGCTCAGTTCTTAGGAAAAATAAAGTTTTTGCTAAAAACAAGTTGTAAAATATTTAGTCCGTAATTTTGAAATTAATGCCTTAGACCTTAGACTTTAAAATTGAAATTATAAATAAAAAAAATCATATGGGCTTTGGCTTTGTTCTAGGAACGTAAAACTGAAAGGCCAGCAATTACTAATATCCTTTTAAATGGGACAATTCATTAAAATAAGAAAGGAGCTACTTTCTGAACACATTAGGCAGGTTTTTGTCAGATCGTTAAAAGGACCTAACTATGACAAAAATATGCATGAACTCATATTCTACGATTTCTATAAAAATCAGTTTGTGAGCTACTCGTATCAAAATAATAAACTTTAAATAAACCAAACCTTTTTATACATCTTTTGGTTGTGGACGGTATAAAACATTCTTAAAATTGAAAAATACTTCTCAATAGTCGTGATAGATCAGTCTCCGGGCGCCCGTTTTTAATTAAAATATTGAAATCCCGGTGCCGGAACCAATAGAGTTTTTTAAGTGCTAACTTATCACGTGCTTAGTGGAGAAGGAAATCATCGTGATAAAAACATTAATTTTACCATATTATTCGAAATGGTAATCATAGAAATAAGTGGAAATAAAACCCACGACCCCGATTGCTGAAGTCGGTGACTTAACAAGTGCGCCGCTACCGAATCATAACGTTATAATATTATAAATTATTATATAATATATACAGTACGTCATCAACCACTTTAGTATTTTATCACGGTTTTTGGCTATGCACTCTTCATGTAATTTCTTTAATATATTAATAATAATTCTTTATTTTCTCGGGGTAGTAGGGCCGCGCAGCAGCCTATGATAAATACTTTTGCGTTTCATCTAGTGAGTGAGGTAGCCGGAACCCAATTTTCAAAAGGTTGTCAACGCATCTGGAACGCTCGGGTGTGGCAGATGTCCGGTATTCGATTAACATCAGGTGAACCGTCTGCTCGTGTGACAACTTTTGGCATAAAAAAATAAACGAGACTTCTGCATTTAAACATTATTTTTTAGTGATGTAACTATCTATAATTCTACTTGAGTGTTTGAGTGGCTTTTACATAATTATTAAATTTTTCATTAGTTAGGTTTTCTTAGAAAAATAAAGTTAAAATACATTTCTCCTTAAAGTATCTAAAAGGTACGATATATTAACATTATGAATTTGTTATTCCGTTGGTCACGTCTTAATAGCATGACTCTGGTAAAAAAATTATATTCCGGTGATTTATTTTAACAATATGCTTACTGTTGGGTGGAAAATCTTGAGTGACATTTTTCCCTGTCGTTGGTAGAATTTAATTCAAGTATATCTGAGCTAAAGTTATTTGCATCACTACTATTCACGGGCTTCCTATAGATATTTGAGATGTAGTCAGTCTTTAATGTATATTATCAAAAGTCTAATGTATGTTATCGTATAATCGTTACAATGAATTTATGTGGTATTAATACCTAGAAGGATAAATAGTTCAACAGCGAGAGGCTCATGATACTGTGTAAAAGTTAAAGAAATATTACCTCACCCTACTCACTATCTCCTAAGATTAAGCAGCGAAAACTTGCTTATTATTCCTTTTATTAAAACAAGTAGCTAATCAGTACTTCGTGTTACAATGAAGTATTTTCAAATGCGATTTTTGAAATAAAAACTATTTACAATATTTTACAATAAAAAATTAAATATTGAAAGGAATTAAGTACGACGAAAAGTACATGAGAATCCCCGTATATATTAAAGTAATTTGGCTAACAAAGTAACAAAAGAATCGGAAATTTTACAGTCTGCAACGAGATATACCAAAATTTATATTTAAATTTACTACTTACAGTCCGTAATCCGGGGAACGTCGTATAACTTTATAGCACGAATGTGAAAATGGGGATAACAATAATTCAAATTTGAACACGCGTTTTGATATGGACGTATATATTCGAATGTAAATATTACATAAATACGAGTATGATATGGCTGCTTACTTTACACCGGAGCGGCAAAAAGTACCTCGCCATTACACACAGCTGAAACAACAACGAAACACCAACATTTCGTGTGAGCGAAAGAAATGTTTTCATTTTTAAGATTCCGACAATGGTTGTAAAAATAAAGATTTAAGTGTAACGGTCGTGCCTCGAAACGTATACGACTCAGTGGCTGAATACAAAAAGTATTTTGTATTCCTAGAATTCTTTTTGTGCACAATGGAATTTTGTGAGAAATTACGCCATTTATCTTCAACGTTTGCATGTCTTATTTACGAAGACTCGGAAACCTTTGATAATGTTTTCGAAGACGCAATGCCACGCAACAGTAAGATAATTGTAACATAATTTTATTATTTGCCTGAAAAATAAACGTCTTTTACAGTTTTATTTCTAATTATGTTTGAACGGCTTCAGGACTCAAGGCCGCGTATTTAATACCACTCTTACAATCGGGGCCCATGAATTATAGGTATATTGGTATTTGCTTAGGACTTGCTTATATGTATCATTTATGAAACTTATCTATGACTAAGATGCCATTTCCTTCACCGATACTTTGAATTTTTTGAAGCTTCCTTATTTGTATTGAAAATCTCTACTTTTTTTAAAATATTTAATACCCTTGCTGTATAATTAACATTATCCTGTGTTGTAAGGGAATATTAGAAATATGAACTTTATGTTGACGAAATTCCAGATCCAAAGCAATTAATTGGCCGGTGTAGGAATCGGGCCCGCAAACCCTGCGCCGACGCCAAAACTTATGCAAATGCACCACGGCGTCATCTATAAGATGAATAAAATTGGAGTGTCTGTTTGTAATATTAAAATAACCGCTTTTTACTAAATACATATGGATGTATGCACGGTACATATACCAAAATAACATTTTTTACAATTTTTGTCTGTCTGTTTGTTCCGGCTAATCTCGGAAACAGCTGGACCGATTTGGACGGGACTTTCACTGGCAGATAGCTGATGTTTTAAGAAGTACTTAGTCTACTTTTAGTTTAGAAATTTTATTTATTGTTATTAATATATGTAATATAATACCACGCGGGCGAAATCGCGGGCTTAGCTGGTCATTAATATATCTATGTTGTGAACTTTTTGAATTCAAATCACTTAAAAACTATTCACCAAAAATTCTTAGTATAACGAGTCGATGACTAGCCTAAGTAAAAAACAGGCGTGCATATCTGGTTCTAATTTTTGAAGTATAGAATCGAAAAACTTTATCAATACTAGCATTAATACTTTCTCTACGCAGTCCATGTAAGCCATGTTCAATAGCGTAAATATATTAGGTTCTCAAGGATTGCGTGATTATAAAAAATACTTTCATTGAGCTTCATAATTACTGAAAATTCTGAGATTTTCGTATTATTTTGCTTTATAAATCTATGCAGATTTTTCTCCAAATTATTTGTTTGTGTCATGCCATGTATCTGGCTCCAGGTGGTGCTACAGGTTTCATAATTATAAAACATTTTTAACGATCCTGCATAGCTCTATTGAAGATTATATCAGTATAGGTATCGGCGTTTCGGACATATATACGAAAGTTTTTTGTCCAAATTAATTTTTTGCCCTGCGTTTTCATGTATTCAATAATGATTTGTTATCTTTCGTAAGGTGTTCGTTAGTAAATGTTCGATTTATCTCATAATACATTCCGAAGTACTATAAGTACGATGCTTGCGAGACGCTGCCACTGTCTTATCCTTATTAGCACTTAGTTTCAAACGCATGATAATAGGACGTGTATGATTCGAACTGACAGTTCACGTGGCTGTACGCGATGCACAAACTTAATATACTCGTAAGTCTCACTGCTCAATATTGCACTCTGTATCAGTGATTTAATCCCTGTTTGGCTTGTATTCGATATGCTGCATTTGAGCCCACTGGTGCCACGTAAAATTCTCTCTTTTTACTTAGAAAATAAGCTGATTCCATTTTAAAAGCATATTTATTTTTTATTTATTTATTTCATCGTAAGTTATATTGCACCACACAGTCTATATAACATACAGTTAAACTATAATTTAATCAAACAGAAAATAACACTATAGAAATTACTACATTATATGGAACAAAAGAAAAGAAAAAAACAAAACAAATTATTTACAAAATGTATATCAGTAGTAATAGCCGGGTAGTTTGTTAAATTTAAACATATCTAATTGGCGGTAGCTGGTAAAAATTATTTACCTTCCGTGCTAGTCAAAAGACTAGTTAGTCAAAAAACTTAGTGTTACGGCAAGGTAAGGATTCTCGTTCCAGAAATACTTACTTTACGCTAATTGAAATAAGGACAATAACAATAAAAATAAGGCATAGCATATTAGTGTAACAAACTATAATTTAGCAAGCTTTTTATCTCGTAATTAGTAGTAGCAAGGGATTCTGGATTAGAAATTTACTGGAAATAGAAATTTTGAATTATGCAGGTGATGAAATAATATAGAATAGAGCTAGTCTATTATAATAGTGCGTGGAATTTATCCAAATCTGCGTGGAATTTATCCAAATCGGTCCAGCCGTTTCAGAGATTAGCCGGAACAAACAGACAGAAAGACAGACAAAATTTTTAAAAAACGTTACTTTGGTATATGTACCGTGTATACATCCATATGCATTTAGTAAAAA